CTAATCTCCGAAACTACTGGTCCGATTTAAACAATTCTTTCTGTGTTGGATAGCCCATTTATCGAAAAAGGCTATAGGCTATAAAATATCACGCTACGATTAATAGGCGCCGAGCAGAGCGAGTGAAACCGCACGGAAGTAGCTAGTAAGACATATTGCACACTTTAGATACAAACGGACAGTTGAAGTTAATTCTAGTAGTGATCGGAAAGGTAGGTCTTTAAGTCATCCTAAGGGCTTTTTTTTTAGGGGGGAAAATCATCGAATGACTGCTCCCGCCTGGGTGAGGCGGAAGGGAGTGTCAGACTCTTACTGACTAAAAACCACCCCGTTCATTCTCCTGCACGTCGAGCCGGAGCCCCGGTTATCCGTTAGGTTCTCCGCGACTCCGAATCGGCATCGACCCTATTGGGCCCCATCTGTGGTGGTCTGATGGCTCTTTGAGGCGCGCGCGGAACGCGACGCGCCGTACGCTCGGGATTCTAAGGGCTTAGACTTTCTAAATAGGTTATTGGCCTTAAAAACACAGGAATTTTGAAAGAATATTGTCTACAAAGAATGAAAATGACACTTTTATTTTGAGGGGGGAAAATCATCCAATTACTTCTCACACCCGGGTGAGGCGAGAGGGAGTGTCAGACTCTTACTGACAAAAAAACCCACCCCGTTCCTACTCCTGCAATTCGAGCCGGAGTCCTGGTAACCCGTTAAGTCTTCCGCGGCTCCGTATCGGCATCAGCCCTATTAGGCCCCATCTATGGTGGTCAGATGGCTATGAAAATGACACTGTAATGTTATATTTCAAGCAATTGCCGTGAACAAATAGCGTATCGTTCAATGCCGTCGCGGAGAACCTAACGGGTAATCGGGGCTCTGGCTCGACGTGCAGGAGAAGGAACGGGGTGGTTTTTAGTCAGTAAGAGTCTGACCCTCCCTCCCGCCTCACCCAGACGGGAGCAGTAATTCGATGATTTCCCCCCCTTAAAAAAATCGTGCAATGCTCACTTTATTATGATTGTAAAATATTTAATGAAACCACATTATTATCTACGTGTACGAATTGTATAGGGGTTTTACAAAAATATTTATCAAGCTGTTATTCAGTCTGTAAGTAGATAATCTTATCGTAGATACTGGTTTTAATTCATAGATATTTTTCCATTTGTTTTTTAGGGTGAGGCTAGCTACTTGATAAGGACTAGAAGTCGTTACTAATATCGATGGTGGCAAGTTCACTGCTGGACCTGGCCTCCTATATAGAAGGGGAGTTTGTTACACTTAACATTTTAACATCGCGCCTTTTATCCCCGAAGGGGTAGGCAGAGGTGCACATTATGCCACTGTACAATGTGACACCCACTTTTCACTATTTATGTTGCGAGTCCCATGTAATAGGGGGTGAGCCTATTGCCATATACCGGGCACAATTCCAGACTCCATGCTGCTACTGAGATTTTTTTAAAAATCCAGTAATAATTTGCCCGACCCGGAAATCAAACCCGAGACCCCTTGCCGAGTCGCAATTGCGACCAATCGGCCAACGAGGCAACAGAGGAGTTTGTTATATCTCTATACTTTGCAGATAGTTTAGATGAATCAGCTTTAGGTTCAGGCAATCCGTCTCTGGACTGAGACGCCACATTATGAAGAATCTTTTTTAGAGATAAAATAGGTATTTTCTTTTTTTATAATTAACTATCGCAAATTCGTGTAAAATATTGAATTAACTAACGGTTTACTCACGTAAATTTACTGAAATAAGCTTTACTGTAGTAGGCTGTGCGACGTCTCCGCGACCGCGCACGTTACTCGTTAGGTAAAATCCCTCAGTGACTCGAAACTAGTAGAGCTTTTCTTAGAATATTTTACTTAAAAAAACTGTTATTTTTTGGTAATTCATGCATTGTCTTATGCGGATTTTATCACACCTGCTACAAGAGTAAGGTAATGATAAATGTAATCGTTTCTGACGTCACTACATAGAAAATTTGGACCGGGATTATCCAAGATATGTTTTAATTACTGAAGTCCATATTATTTGAGATAAAATGAAAATTATTAAAATATTAATTAGACCCTTTAATCTAAATCTATTTTTGAACCTGTCATTATATATTCCATTCATAAATGTAATACAATTAAAATACGATTAGGAATCTTACGTTACGTGAGTTAAGTCATGAGTATAATTAATTTAGGCTAAGAAGATGCATTTTAAATGTGTTGTTGATACAAATTAATTGACCTTAGACTACATAGTTTTCTAGTACCATGATATATATAAAAAAAAAATGTCTATATTATTTTTCATTTGCGAAAACTTGAAGGTTGATAGTCCTTCTTACTGATTTCGATAACAGTGACTCTATACCTCTCTATCTGTATCGTGTGTCCTGATGTAGCTGGCCAGAACGAATTTAGTTTTGAAAATCCGATTACACCCATAACAGTAAAGCTGGACGTAAAAAGCTGCTGAATAGCTGCTGCCCCGGCTTCGCACGGGTACAATATACATGTATTATACACATAAACCTTCCTTAATAATCACTCTATTAACTAAAAAAAAATCCGCATCAAAATCCGTCGCGTAGTTTTAAAGATCTAAGTATATAAAGGGTCAGACAGACGGCGGATAGACTTTGTTTTATACTACGTAGTGATTTTCAAACAGTATAATTTAATTATTTCATTTTCCTACTAGCATTAATAGTCGCCAGATACGTGAGAAACAACACGTTTTCTTTTAATAATTAGTAAGATATTAACGAATGACCATTAGGGATTTCTTAATGCCAGCGTCTAAAGTATTAAAATAATTAATGTCAGTTGCTCATTTTCCCCAAATTAGAACGTAATTTTTATTTATATAATATATTACAACTATTTTCTATTGCCATATATAATATTTTATAGCATATTTTAACTTTTTGACCTCTTAACAAATATTATACACATAAATAAAAATTGAATTTATAGATTGTATCTGCACTTGTCATGGGTGCAGTTTCGAGTTCAAAATTTTGGAATGTCACATCACAAAACATAAGTTTTCTTCTAATAAAATCTTACATTTTTCTTCAATAAATACAAAACCATAGAGTTCATAACTTACAATATAGCTATGTTAATATGCAAGCATATACTTCGGATGAAATTGTCAACAGCATCCGTCTCCAATAGTGCATTAAAACCCACAGTTCGTGCAGTGATAATGAGCTCACGACATATTCCTTAGCCAAGCGGATCCTAGAACTGAGACGGGAAAACTAAATACGATGAAGGTGGTATTGAAGTCTTTTGTCTATGTAAATATTATCTTTATAGCCATAACGGCAGAGTAGAATTCCGCACCACACATACTTTACTCTCATAGGAGCTGAGTAAAGAATATAATATAATACCTATTTTTGAAAGGAACCGGGCCGCAACGGGGCAGAGCTCTCAGATAAAACTGAGCTCTATAAACCTATTTGCCTAATCTCTTGTATAGAAAATGTAATGAATATTCCACACATACACACATTAGTTTATTCTACAAGATTTTAATTTTTCTCTAAACGAAATTTGTTATTTGTATAAATGAACATTAGTTTAATTTCTTTTCTCTCTCAACAATAGAGTTAAATAATTAAGTCCAAATAAATTGTATGTTTATTTATTTTTACCTTAAAACCCGCACCTAAACTGTGTTAACCCGGGTTACCGGGGCTCCGGCTCGACGTGTAGGAGAAGGAACGGGGTGGTTTTTAGTCAGTTAGAGTCTGACACTCCCTTCCGTATGACTGCTCCCGCCTCATACCATGATATTCACTCCTTAAAAAAAACTGTGTTAGCCAACTGTTGTATAGGTATAAATAAGAATAGTTTTAAAAATTCAAGGTAAGAAATAAAATATTCTGTGAAAAATTAACATGAACAACATAAAAATTTAATAAGACTCAGTACTAACTACTTCTGTACCTACTTATGGGCAGGCGTGCTCCATCGATGGTCACATTATCGCTTACCACTACGCGAATTTTGGTCAAACGATAACCTATAATTAAAAGAATGAAATTAATCATGAAAATCAAACCCGGGATCTACACTTCAGTAATCGTTAACCAGCGAATTAATATACTTAGATTAATAGGTGTCTACACGGATATTTTTAAAAATAATTTATCTTCGTAATCTATTTATCTTTGTCCTATCCAGGATCCAGATGATAACGATCTCATTATGTCATATGCTCATCACATCATTGGTAAAAAATAGACGGTTTTTTTATTTGTGACAGAAGCCTTCAATTAATTATGATAATTCCATTTCTATATCTGATAAAAATATGAAATCTATTGTTACGTAGTTAGAGTATGATTTGGTATGATTGCCATTAAAAATTGAGTAATGATTTGAAATATTTTGTGTTTTACAATGAAATATTGTATACAAATATCTTAACTTGTATATTTTGCAACAAGTTGGATATATGATATATTATAGTAAATTAATGTGAAAACGTAACGTACCTATCTCTATCAGATTTTTTTAGAATATATATATACATATATATATAAATATTGTATATGATAATAATTAACGCTTAAAATATCTATTAAATATTATATTTTACATTATATTTTTCCTTAAATAGACTCCCATATATGAAAAAAAGATTCACTATCTTATCAACAAGAGCGAACTTTGCTCCCCACGATAAAATGACGTGATAAAACAATATATATATTTATCGTAGCGTATAATGATAAAATATTAAAAAGATTTACGTCTTTGTATGTAGACTGGTGCACGGAAAGCAGCGGAGACTGCTTTATAATATATATTAAGAAAATAATAGTGATATATATCGCTGCGGTTAAATAATAACGATTATTTTATAGTTATTTCTTATTATTATCGTTTACATTGAATAAGAAGTGATTTTTAATAATATTTAAATACTGATAGTATTCTTTGTTGGTTGGTTTATGGACTTTTTTTAAAGAAATTTCGCAATAATGGTGTCTGTTGGGGATTATTACTGGAGAAACTACGGGGGATCTTACTATCTGGCTCAGGATTATCAGGTAATTAATTTTAATATTGCGTAATAATGAGAACTACGTATAAAAATTAAGATAATTATATTTCTGTTATATTGCCTCCTATGCCTTATATCATTATTATTCTATAACATTTAATATTTGAAACATATAAATGATTCGTTTTTAAACTTATATATTACTGTGACTAAAAACATGGCCGCCCTTTCTTTTGACACTGACATTTGGTCATGAAAAGAATGACGTCACAAACATGAATGTGAATGGTTAAATAAAGGCTTTCCCATATATTAGTATAACTTTAGAGAATATACAATATTGTAACGACATTGATATAACTTAGTAACTTAAAATCGAAGAAATCATTTAACCTTTCATATGTGTCTCATATCGGTGCATTTAAGCGGTTAATAGTTACCTAGGAGGTATTAAATCTTAATGATAATGAAATTCTATATTGTATAAAATAATCTAGATATTTCTGAAATATGCATGAAAATGCTAATCTGAACTTAATTGTCAAGTCATAACTATGTTATGCTTCGTAATACTGACAAGACAGATTTTCCCAAGACGATGAATGCACATATATGTATATATAACTATTTAAAAGAATTACACACGACGCGTTGGAGTGTGGGTGCTTTATGAATGGGTTTTTGCAGTGACATAAAACAAAACAATAACTAGTAAAGCCGGCATTCCCTGTTACATAAGTATATATTATATATAAATAGTTTTAATCCTTTTTGCTTGACCAAATTTTTTACTTTTGTCTTCTTACGAAAAATATCAGAAAATGTTCATTTTAACCTTTGACGTTTTAGTGGATATGTATAATGCAAATTCTATGATTGCATAATAATTTTAAAATTCTTTTATTGAATCCTGTATCGCGTCACACATTTCATACATGCGGACATTCGAACAAGTTTGAAATGTTTTAGTATTTTTTTAATAATCTAGTTTATGTTTCAAAATTCGGAACTCTTTGTGAGGTTTGATAAATTCATTCACTTGTAACAAGGACATTAATGCAATGGAATAAATCTTCAAATTGGAACAAAAGCGTTCTAAATCCATGTGCAAAAACATTGCAACCCGTTGATGTCTTTTGTACTGCGTTTCACAATTTTCAGCAATACCAATTTAATAAAAATAATAATACACAAATAGTAACAGAACGTGTGAACAATGTATGTATTATTATTTTCTCACGTGTAGGATATTCTGACGTATTACTGTAAGTATGTGTGTGTATGGTATAAGTGTTTTTGTCTGTGTTCAGCTATTATTACTGAATGAATGAAGTGCGGAAGGCCGCGGAACGATAACGTCATGTCGAGCACGACTCACGATTTATTTACCCATAATAATGAGGGTGGATTAACCCCAATTTTATGTAACATATAGATTATCATAACTGTCAAGGCAGTCAAGATTATATTTGAATTTATTTGCATTTATTATGTCATAGTACCTTTATATGCATTCCGTTGGATATTATTATCTTGGAAGTTGAAATGTGTATTATTATTATTAATACTTGGCACTGTTTCATAATTACGCGAATTATATTAAAGCTATACAGTAATAAAGCAAATATAACTTGAATTAAGTAATTCTTACTATTGTTAACATTAACTAAATTAAACATTTTATTGTATTGTAAAGTATTTCGAATGTAATGTATTTAATAAAGAATTGCATTTGATGGTCAACACTGACGTAGACCGTACTGTATTTTGTTTACGGAAAGAAATATAACAGTATCGAAAACTAATTAATTTAGGACGTGACAAAAGCATACACAGGAATCGAACAATGAAATGTAAGTGAAACCAAATCACTTTTTAATTTCGTCTTTTCATTTTAACTCTTTTCATAAACGTCATAAAAATGTAATTAAGTGATCTATGACGTGAGACGACGTTATAACTATGTGAGAAGTATTTGTTATATTAGTTTAGTGGCAGCGTACTTCCCGTAGTGACGTAGCCGCTCATTGAGGCAAAGCCTTCGTGCGCGGGCGCCGCGCTCAGTGGCTGTGTGATCTATCCGCCGTACACACGCACTCATGTTGCCAAAAATATATATATGCCGGGAATATTTACATTTAAACTTTATTATATAACAAGTATATAAATAAAACAAGTGACGGAGAATTTTCTGGATTCTGTGCATTGTTCTTTCAACGGGCAGACACGCCGGCCGGCATTCTAACCTCTACGCTATGGATGCAGCGTAAGCGCACCCCTGTTCGGATATTTGACTGTGTGAGTGGATTTTGTACATTCAGTGAGTGGGGCTGAAAGCCTGCTGAAGCAAGTGAGTGAGGCATATAAGCTTAAGTTACCACATGAACTTAAATTAACTTAACTTCTAATTAGTTAAATGCGAATGTTATTGTTGTTGTTTACACTTCGACAGAAGTATCTCGACTTTTAACAATCGATTTACTTGTGAATTTGAAGGATTAATTTGACTGTTGAGGTTATATAATAACGGTATCATAACAAAAGCAGTGTCAAAGAACTAAAAGCCGGTTACATATATATATAACCTAGCTAGGTTGTATACTACCTACATAATACCATTTATAAATATGGAAGGATTTGAAGCCAAGTATATTAAAACAACGGTGTTTTGTTCATAAATTCTCGTTTTGTAGAGATTTATATTTATTGTTATAGTTAGAACAGAAGTTATTGTCAATCAACGCTGATGAACCAGAACCAGGTCGAACAATTAAACTAAATCGTTGTTCAAAGTTTAAATGAAATAGTCTATACTAGTATTCTAACTGTAAACTATAAATATTGGAGATCACAATCTAAAGAGGTTGTATTTAAACCCAATCAAGGAGAGTGACAAATCATTTGTATATTAGATGACTGGTACTTACATATATTTTAATAGAAACCTCAATAAAGTACTTTTGGTTTACTTATCAAACCTGAACTGAGGATCATACCAGTAATCTAAATTCTTTGTAGTCACAAACGACAAACACAAGCCATCCAGTTAAACTTGACATGACAATAAATTTAACAGTTTGATACCCGTTTAATTGACAAACAACGGTCGGGAAATACCAAATGTATTTAGTATTAGATATATATATATACTAGATATATACAGCGACTAGAATGACATGTTTTATATACTAAAGAGTATATAAAACTAGTGTTCTTGTTCCTCATATGGTCGTGCTGTGGTATTTATGCTAATTTCATAACGTTTACTGTTTTCTAGTCTGTTATGATTGTAAGTAGTTTTATATCTTAAAGCCTTCAGACTTAGATAGTATTTTATGCGTTTTTTGCTGTCATATCTCTTCTAAGGAGGTTAGAAGATGAAACTTAGTTCAGACTATGAAGTATTGTTTGATACTAAAAACTGTAAGATACTTTGCCAAGTCATTACAAGACAATCACTGTAGCTTTGATTCTTGTATCGAGAAAAATTTCGATGGATCATTGGATTCATTCTTAATTTTAAAATATCTTCGTATTTTATATTTATAAAATTTCTTCTTTAGTCTTGAGCCACAATGCTATACTTAATTTTTCTACCTAATTCTTAGAAATATTAATGTCGTATCAAGTTTTGTTTGCTGTACTGACAATATCTCACGAAGAAGGTGCTAGATAAAAAGGGGTAACCCCAGCCATAATAATTCATTGTAATGGCTCATTAAAGTTAATCTCTTCCAGACATCTTCATTTAAAGAGAACAAGATTTACTCTGGTCTCTGAGCTATTAAATCTTAAGTTATACTAGAGTCACGCATAAGTAGTTTTCTAAATAAGTATATTTTGCTTATTTGGTGCTGAGATAAAAAATTGGAGCACTTAATTTTGACTTTGATTTATTTTAGTCGAGATAACGTTGTGCAAATGTAATGAAATGACATTTTATAATAAGTTTTTGTTTGATAGTTTTAGCAGCTGTATGTAATGGGGAGCTAGGTATAGGACACAAAATTTATGAAGGGTGATCGATTTGAAATCAGTCATGGTGCATTTTATAATCTTATTCTTGAGGAAGCTTAATGGCTGGATGTTTATGCGCTATCTCATCACTATACCTATAAATATATTATTATACATGCATTATACATTGATCTTCGAAGCATATATATAACTGTAATTTAACAACTTATCCAATATAACGGAAACTTTTCCAATCAGTTAAAATGTTTAATAAGATATATCTGTGTTTATAAACACAAAGAGTTATTGGCTTGCTAACGGCTTGACTCTAAAAGCAATGCAATAATAAAATTTTAGTTTTCACACTACGGAAAGTCTGTTTTCGCACTTCTGTTTTGGCGTAGCAACGATGTAGATTCATTCCGAAGTCTAATTTTAATTCAAGTAGTGTGTGAATGATTCCTTTGAGAATTGATATCATCGAGAAATAATAACACCCATAAACATACCTACTGGACTTGGTATTTTTTCATATATTTTCCTCCAAACTATAAAAGATAAAAAGCAATCTCATCGAGAGATACGGATGACCAAAGATTTATAGTTCTTTAAACTCAACGAATTCACTGGTCGCTTCCAAAACTATGTCATTTAAAAATAAACCATTTAAAATTGTAACAAATTTGTATGCATTACAAGCATTTTTTTACTACATAGACAGTTGAGCGAACTTTAGTGGGAAACCCAAGGTCTGAACGAACTGGCTCTGGTAGTCACGCTCACTCTCAACGTTGATTGGTCGACAATGCTATGACGTCAATAGACATTGTCGGCGAATTTTTTTTAAAAACGGAACACATACTTCCTACAGATTTAGCGTTTGATATACAAGTTGGTATTGTTATTATTTGGAAGCTTGTTCGGTTTTTAAATATCTATTATCTGGGAACATATTATTAATATGATTAATGGTAGTAATAATACACATTAATCGTAATAATAGCAGTTTTAATACTAATAATAAAATAGAAGAAAACTAATATAGATTTCTTTACATCAGATCAACAGAATTTATTGCACGTAGATCAGTTACAACGACAATCTAATCATTATAACCTAAAAATTAAAATATAGTTAACTTGAAGATTGGGGTCAAGACATCTGAACTCTGTATCACTTTTTACGCTGTTTATTGTTATGCTGTAAACACACGGTCATTGGCACTACTACCAAACAACCAGCATTGTGTTGTCATGGTAACGATGAGTGTAAAACCTCCTTTATAATTGAAAATACTTATAACAAACAAACACAGGAATAATAAAATTTAGTTTTCTATTGTTGTAAAGCTATTTGTTCACAATTTTATCGTCAAAATTTAATTATTGGCAACTTGACATTTTGTTTATTGACAAACAATGATAAATAATGTTGTTGTTAGAATGTAAATATGAATTGGATCATTAAAGCCAGTATATGACCAACTTGTCTTAACAAAGGTCAAAACTTAAACTATTTAAGTTTGTCATAAATACTTACTTACATACATTATAAGATAATTGAGTCTTTAATCTGTCAAACACCAAGCGGTCACCGGTGACCGCGACCTATTGTTCTTTAATTGTGTCTATAAAACCGGTACTCGACGAGTTAATATTTGATGGGCCGACGTTTGTCCTCTATCTCGCCTGGTGGTAAGTGATGATGAGGTCTACGAAGGAGCACGTCTGCCAATAAGCAATCTATATATTATAATATTGTATTTCTATTCAGCACACTAATAAATCTAACGTTATCTTATATCATTCTCGTAGGACTATTCTTACGTAATAACTTCTTGAAATGAACTACAAATACTTGTTACTTGTTTACAATTATGACAAATGTTTCACTATAAAATAGAAACCACGTGAAACTGTAAATTCCTATATCCGTTTGGTTAATTCCTAGAAAAATCTAGGAATAAATTATAAGTTAGATGTTAATCATTAGTAACAAGTTCGGAAGTCCGGATATGTTTTGTGGTTGTATGTATGTTACTGTTGACGCACAGGAGTGACTTGCATTTAGGTATTTTTTGTTGAGTGGCCTATTTTTAGGACACTTCGTTTATTAATCTTTGAGGTCGTTGTTAGGCTTTGTTTTAAGATTAAAACAATGGGTTAACTATTTTGTTATTATTTGTATGTTAAATCAAGCTTTTATATTGTTAAACATATAGGAATAGGTACCCATTTACAATTAGTTCTGTAGAGTGAATATATATCTGAATATAATATATAATAGTGAATTAAATGTTTTACATAATTTCGAAATTAACAATTAGGTATTCTTATATTTTTGTCAAATTTACAGTTTCCAATATTACAATTAATCATATGTATATATTATTATTGATAGAAAATAATTTCATGGTTTATAGGGTTTTTTTACGCCCTAATCCTGAAAGGCTACTCAATTTTAAATTGTACTTAAATATCGTGCCATCTCTGTCATTTTACAAAGAATTTTTAGAGACAGAGCTATACTTAACCGCTTGAATGCCCGCTTTGCTTTGTTTGTATATAAGACGTAATAGAAAAAAAAACAAAACTAAAAATTCTAGTCTGAAAGATTTAGATCACATACGATAAATTGATTACGTTCACATTGACGTAATCGACCTGTTAATTCAATCACGATTTGTATAACACATCACATACTCATATATATACCTATATATATATTTATGTACATATTGACTATAGGCCAGACGTAATAGAGTGCAAGTAAATATTGATTGAACGTTTTAAAAAGACTGTGCCTTATTTAAGTGTAGATTCTGCATTTTTTACTTAACATTAAATCGGTGTATATTATGTAATGCTGTATAAACGAAAATAGCTATATAACGGAAAAAATAATTAATCAATTCTTCTAATATAAAAATGGGTTAGAGAAAATAGAACAAAGAGATTAAATAAAAAAAATGTTACTTGGTGAAAATTAAATATGTGTACATTGAAATTAATGACATTTTATCATTAATCCTATGGAATGATTTGACGAACCGCACAACAGAAATAAAATCGCACAATTAACATAAATCGTGCAAAAACTGATAAAGAAAACAATCTAAAAAATTCAAAGGTCACATACCTATATTGAATTCTTAAACGTCATGTTTTAAATATTTAGTACATAATGTTTGACATAATAACATTATTATAATTATATGGGTTGATTAAAACGATAATATGATTTGCAGACATTTCCGCATGCTAAGTCACTTGGCAGACTTTTAGATAGGTATGTGTTACCGTGTGCAAAGTAAAATATATAAAAAAAATCATTGATTTTTTTTTTTAGGTGTAATTGTGTGAAGGACTATTCTTTTGCCATATACTAGAGCTAATTCTAAAAGGTCTGTATTGTCATAAAGATTGGAATTTAAAAAAAAATCTTATGAAAATTTTGGGATCAAATCAAAAGAGATGTTGTTTATAAAATCGATTCATTAGATTGTTTATTGGGTTGTTTTTCTATCATCGACATTTTCTATAACACTTGATTATCATATATATTAATATCTGTCATATCGAACAGATTTGATTATTTTTTTACAAAAAAAAAAAAACATTTTCCTAATCAACGGATTAACAAGCCGCCGCGCCGCTCTAGTAAAATATCAAAACAATTAAATAAAAATTCCTAATCATTAGCCAAAGATAGTGACATCATCGAGCACTTAATAAAATCATAACCAAGACCAGTTCAGTTAAAAAAAATATACTAGATTATACTACTTTATGGTAACATCACGAATTTTACTCAAATTTAACTCTAACACTCATTAAGTTAGAACTCCTTTTTGTTTGTATCTGTCCAGTTAGAATGCACGAATAAAAAAAGAATTTGAAATTATATGGCGTTGCGTTTTTCCTTGCCAGTGTCACCTTACCGAATAAAAATGTAATAGTTTTTTAATAGTACATATTTGAACATTGGAACGCGAACTTTTTTATAAGTATGTACATTGGACACAAAATTATAACTGTACAGCATCTTCAGTATAATATAAAAAATGGTAGAAGGGTAAAGATTAATTGTAGGAACTCATAGATACTGTATCAATTGACTACGGAGAACAATTACACCACAATGCAGATGAGAGACGTGAGAATTATGTAAATTGTTTCAACAATTGTAAGGAATTGTGGAAAAACTGAGTAAAATGGTGACACCGGTTGATTATCCGGACTGACCGGTTCGGAATGGACAGATTTTCGCTAAGGAAATGTCTGAGAAGGCAGTCTTGTGTTTAGTGCGCATATGATGGGTCTGTCTTTGCTTAGAGTAAGTTTGTACATCATTTTTAATCAATTTTTTTAATGATTTGGTCAACATAGAGGTCATCTTTGTGATTAGGAAAAAAACGTTATTTTTTATGTGAATTTTTTTAAAGAAATTCAAATTTGTCTAGAAACATCGTGGGCTTTCCATCGATAGTGTTGTTTAGTGAGCCATTAATAGGCATTTATAATTACCTACGATATTTATTTAAGTAAAACTGGAAATCACGTTACGCTTATGTTTTTTTTATTCCATAGCAACACCATTAAAAACAGATGTTTTCGTAACATACCAAAATGTTCTTTCCCGAGTGCCATCATCCGTAAATATAGTTCCGATTTTTTATCACATCTCAGCTTGAGTTATTAGCAAACAATCTACATATATTTACATATATTTTTCAAACACTCGTATGAATTCTGAGAACTGGACACTATATCATATGATCATAACATACTTCTAAAATACGAAATGTTAACAAATTACATATTTCTAATCTTATTTACTTATTACCACCTAAGTATTAGATTTTCAATTATTTTGTTATTGAACCTACGCAATTATGAATCATTACTAAGTTTAGACGTTTGACGTAACGTTTAGAAAAATATACAACATGGATGTTAACCATCTGGATGCTAACATGTTCGCCAATGACGTTAGCGAACGATGACCCACGGGACTCTACAAAGTTCTAAAGATTACAGGGTCAAGTTCGTAACCAAGTTCATAGACCTCCCAGCTCATGTATCTGGTGCATGAACATCTCAGATAAACAACTACGAGACACTACCAAGACTGAATTAACACCTGCCCTTAACAGACGCGTGTGAAATCCAAGAAATATCCACTGAAGTCGTGACTGATCTAACATGTACATTTGTAGCTAATATACTTAAATCGTTTGATAAAGTCATTGATAAATATCTAAAATTGGTTCTCTTTTGTTCACAGATGCCACAAACAGTGCCCCGGTCCGGGTGCAGCCCGCCGTCGGCTTCTCAAGGCGAAAGAGCAGTCCCCGGCTCCCCCGCTGATCTACAACATCTTCTGCGCCTGCTCGGCGCTGCTTCCCCCCCAGAACCGATGCTTCACTCTCCCCCAAACCCACACAACAAGCCACCCCCACCCTATCCAGAAGATAACACAAACAACGTTTTCTTGGAACGCCTATACGACTTCGAGGGTTACCCTACTCCCTCGCCATCTTCGGACGAAGGTTCTATTCCAGCAGTCACCCTGCAGCCTTCATCGCCCTACAGTTCTCTTCAGTACTCTCCACAAGTGTACATCAAAGAAGAACCTAACAGACTTGCCGTGCCCGGCTTTGCCTCCCCCTATCCCTTATCTCCGTCGGGATCGTGCGTATCATACGGAAGCCACAATCAATACTCATCACCAGTCCCACAACACGAGGAATACATAGATATAGAAGAACTTCTAAAAGAAAATCAGATTTTACAAGAAAGTGTACAACATAGTTACATCACACCTAAAATCGAAGTTGAAGAGCCAAGAGACCACATTCTGCTGCGATCAGCACTAGAAGACACATCTTTCCAGAAGAGATTAAATCTCAGACCAATTCCTTTAGAATTGGGAAGTGTGAAAATGGAAGAGAGCAGTGGAGGTGACGATTCTCTAGTGGCACCAGACATCGATCGAGTTCTCAGCATGGCCATCGAACAGACCAAGAGAGACGTAGACAACACATGCACAGTACTTGGAATCTCACCAGGTGAGTTAAAAACGTCAATAACATTATTCACTGAACTTTGATTGAGAGTTGTGTTACGTGCTCATACATTTATGAACATTCATATAATGATTTACAATGACATGTCATGGGAATGCTGTACTGTATGTCGTACATGATTGCTATTAGATCGTAATTAATAGTGACGTCACTTCGTTGTTGGCTAGGCAAAAAACGTACGTACAAAATATGTTAGCTACTGTCGAGTATACCACTATTATAAACATAAATGATTTCTTAGAAGTAGCTCAGAGCCGATTACGTAAGCTGTTTATGTTGGCCCAGCGATGATCTCGTCTTATATTAGTGACGTCCTCGCTATATACACATTGATTGGATATGCAATGTGAACATGCGTAACTTGGTTCACATATTCTTAGAACGCATTTTCTTCCTTAACTCTGTTAATTAGTAAGTCAATGATTAATGATTACAAACAAGGTATAATGAGATTACGGTAGAATGGACGTGACGATGTAAACTGATTTAATAGTCAATAAGAAATGCAAGAAGTGAATTTAGAAGACATTTGTGATGATAATTAGATGGGCATATAAGTCTTACTTGAGCATAAACGACAAGCAGAAGCTAAAGTGACTAAAGGAAATGAAAGTGCAGTAGATAATAGATTATTTGTTTTTAGATCCAATGCAGTGGAGCACTGGGGACGTAAAGTCATGGGTGATGTTCACATTGCAACATTACAACCTGCCAATGGTACCCATGGAAAACTTCACAATGGATGGCGCAGCGCTTGTAGCACTAACAGAAGAAGAATTCAACCACAGAGCACCTCAGGTACTATTTATAATCACTTGTATTTACTTAAGTTTATCGTATAACCCTGGGACGGATTGAGGGCGTCTGTAAGACCAAAGTCTATACTGATTCACATACTACTGATAATACAATGTTTACTTAAGTAGTATCAATTAAAATAGTCTATATAGGAGAAAATATCTACAATGCGTGTTATCTTGGTGTTATCATCATATAAATTCTTCTCGACACGTGTCAGTTGAGGTCAAGAGATACAGAATTATCGCCAGCTGTAACGTCAACGTAGGGGCTTGGGCATTTTTATTTCATCTGTTTGTGTTACTCCATTCTAAGTAACATGAAGTTCTGCTCTTTTAAGAACCATTTTTAGCACTGTTAGTACAGTCTCTAAGAATCTAATGATAAAATTCTATAAGATAGCATTTTGCTATTAGTATTGTAGCAATTGCTTAATCTTCATTCATAATTTACTACGTCGTACAAAATTTCTTAATTAATGCCATATTACGGCTAAATCTTCGCCAAATATTACGAACCCTGCTTTTTATATTTCTACATTTTAAAATGCTTACATCATAATTTAGCTAAGCGTGGCTTTTGCACATGCTCGTCGCGTTACAAATTGATGAGCATAGATGATTCATGTTTAATCTTATTTACTGACCAAAGAGCAAACTAATTTACATTTTTAATGAACACGTTTACCACACCAAGTTCTTCTTTTCCTTTGGTTAATTCTTCTATCAGTAAATTTTGATTTTTATCCTATTCTTATGTTTTTATACCTTCATAATTATCGATTACAATCATACTAGAATCATTTTGAAATTCTTTATTAGATTCAATGATAGCATCACTCATTGATTTAATCACGTTGCTACTTCAGCCTCGAGAGTAAACGATAATACTATCAATACTCAAGAGGACGACGATAAGAGAACGAGCATTGTTTTTAATAATAATGATGCAATGAAGTTTATATGACAACTTACTATCTGTTCGAATAAATTGGACAAAAAACTTTACTATGTATCGATAGTTTATTTCTGTTGTAATATTTATCGTTATCAATAATACGTACAACGTAATTCAACGTCTTGTTTAACCTAACAATGCCATTCATTTCATTGAATTCAACAAAAACTATTATTGCGTTTGGTCGTATCTCATTTGGATGTGGTTGTTATCAATCATAATATTTTTTCTTCATAACAAGCATCTTCTTCTGGATATTCAGAGATTGTCTTAAAATGGTCTGTTTCATTTAAGTGACTATGAATTCCTATAACTGATGCAACATCTTTAGACCGTTCTGCTTCCTCATTATCCATAACGAAAAGTTCAACATTAATTGCATTTACGTAATTAGTAAGGACAACGAAAGTAAGGAAATCCGTTAATGCTGACCCGTCTTATGTAACTTCATTGAAGACTAGTCCATTTCCAACGTTTAGTTTTGCAATCATTGTTATGTCATCCTCGTTATTTATTATAACATGTGCAGTAACAGCAATGGCTTCACCAACATCGATATGTTATTATATAAGCCTTAAATTCTCAGAAAGTCTAGCTGCACTTTAAACTTCAATTACATTTTTATAAAGTTTATTTTTAACTGGCGATTATTTAATACTTAGTTCGTTTGTAGTTTTATTATTAAACCCAATAAGTGATTTCTGATTGAGAATAAAAACCATTACTAATAACGATAAAAACCCTATGTATGTGTAATTGTGTTCTTTCCCTATGACGATATGAATATAAGGAAAATTTCCTTTAACTACGTAGCAATCATGAGCTCACGTCTTTTTATGGACACACATTTTAATGACGCCATACATGAGTTAACACTTCAACGCTAACAACTTGCAACTATTACGAAGAAACGAGCAAAAAATCAAATGTTTTTGATCTTTAGAGTCATACACTTAGCAGTTCAAAAATGCTTAATCGATTCCTGGTGAGTTTAATTGAAATTTTATTTTGATTGATTTGATCGGGGTTTTTTGGAGATGAAGAGACAAATATAAAGATGTTATAAATCCGGACTATACATAAACACACGTACACGATTACATAAATTTTTAAGGCAAATTTACCCTAGACTAAAATATAAAAACTGCTAAATAAGTAGAAAAAAAGAGTGTGGTGTCGTATCGAGCACGGCTGTTCCAATGGGCAGGTATCTTTGTTATCGCACGCGTCGACGAGCCGACTTTCTCTAACCGATGAAAGTCAGCACCCTGGGACCCGTCTGCATACAAATTGCATCTGGTTTGCAGTATAGGATAGGTGTAAAATTAGTTAGGAATTCAGAGATTTGAGATAAAGGGTAGTCAAGTACGTAAACATCGATAGCGTGAATTTTAATATAGTTTGCAAGTTTTTTATCATTTTCCTCGTTGAGATTAAATATTGAGAATATTTTTAATCTTAAATAAATAAGGTTTTGAAATAAAATCGCACGAAGAAACATTTGGTTTGGTAAATTTTGCAACTTGCAAAAGTTTTAAAACATTCTGACCGACCGCAAACCTATAAATATTTATCATACGCTACGATTTGGACTTTAAGCGGATCAAATTCTGGTAGCTACGATCAAAAACCCGTTTCTTAATTTACTACCAGACTCGTTAGCTCTACGTTGCTTTGATATAAATTAAGATAAATCCAATAATTTTCTGCCAACTAAACAACTGGAATGATCACTTCAAATGTTGCTTCGTGGAAATTATGCGCAGTTTCTTCGTAATGTGTGCATTTACAGTTCTGGTTTGATCATTGTTTATTTTTGTTTTAGGCGGGAAGTACGTTGTATGCTCAGTTAGAGATCTGGAGAACATCACAGGGGTCTGATCATCAGCAGTTATCAGCTTCACCGATCCCAACACCAGCAGGATTACCGTCTGCCGACGACATGAGTGATGGTGCGTATACTATTATTCCTAGTCTTATGTAATATACAGTCCAATTCTACATTTACAGTTTTAGGTTCTTCTTTTTATAATACTACCGTATATCATGTTTCTGACATATTGTATAATGCCAATTCCTTTACAGGGTTGGCAAAGAATCAAGATTTAGCAACGGATAAGATAGGTACTATAAAAATTATATTATCGTCTAAGTCAGCTTTGCACGGCATGTTCTTATCAGTGGTTTAACCTGGAATCATTCTATATTATAATGTTATCTATCATCAATTTTGAAAAACTATGCGATAATAGTGAACTATTGAATGCAGCTATATTAATTTACGTTTAATGAATTAAAGTTTAAGTTAATCATGAACACTAACTGGCGTCAAACCATGTACACCGCAATTATCAAGACATTTATGGGACATAAATTCACCACGATGCTTAATGTTACAAAGTTAATGTTTTCTTGCATGATTGGATGTTAGATACCAATGTATCTGCATGCGTTAATTGCCTATCAAATATTGCCGTTAATATTAAAGCCATCACCATTTGATACATTCATAAAATCTACCATTTTTGTCGTACGATTTGTCATCATTAGATTTAAAACCTTTAGATCCAGTCGTTAAAATGCGTGAAAATACAGACAGATGATTGAAAAGTAGATAGTGCAATACGTGGTCGAATGTAGCACGGCAATGCATCAGTCGCATGCATTGTGCATCCACCGTTACCAACCCACATACGGCCTGTGTTAGAGACAAACGAGCTAATGATGTATAGCCAACATCGTACGCAGTTGTAAACTGACTTTATGAGGGAATTGAAAGCCACGATGTATAGGACGTAATGGGGACAGGCGCGGTCTTTATTGGTGATAAACGATTAGCCAACGATAAGATACGTCTTGAACTGTTCTTTGCGAATTAAGTTTCTTTTGTTGTGGAAAACAATAAACGTTTATCAGGGTCAGTTTGTAAGGAATTAGAAATTAGTGATTAATTTTACAACATTTTTACAATTTAAATTACTATTGGGATTAATACGATAAATTATGAGAGCTCTTATCTCGATTGCATAAATATAAACCTTGATACAGCCCAACGGACGAGACTGACCGTCGCCCTTAATGGGTTGACAGTTAGCTTATAAATAAAAAAAGTGTCAGATAGTAGCACAGGAAATTGCGATCGACAATTATCTCCGACTCAGTTGTCAGTCCACACATGCAGTTTGACATAGAGATTTATATCAGAAAGGCCCTGGACAGTATCAAGTATATCAAAGAGGTTACTGGGCCAAATAGTGAATTCAAAACCCGAACACATTCTTAAAATTCAGAAGTTGTCCAAATAGAAGATTAAGGACAATCACATGTGGTAAATAAAGTTGAGTCAAAAGTAATATCTATTCATTCTAATAAAGCAGAAAGAGAATACGTTATAATCAAAGTATCATATTTGATTACTTGATAGTTGCTAGGATCAGGTTTCACGTATTTGCATACAAATGCAATTTGTGATAGTTAAAGATCATTCCGCAAAATACCTCCTTGCTTGGAAGCACTAAATTATGAGAATTAAATCTTTAAATCGCTGACCGATAAAATGAATTGGATACTAATGTAATATGGAGCCACGCCTAGTTACAGTTAACCCATCAATCAGACGTTTGTCGTTCTATTGCAGTTCTGTCCCTTGCACGTCGACTTCGAATCCATATACGTCAAGTCTTGTTTTTGTAGCATTTCCCGAAGGCCTAGTTCACGCCACCGGACCCGCAAGGTCGTATGCGACCAAGATAAAATTGCTGACAGCATCGTGATCATTTTCATTATCACCTTCGCATACAGCTCAAAATACTTTGAAATTTACTTTAGCATAACCAGTGTCACTTGCCTCGGCTCTTTTAGTAAGTTTACTCTCATTTCTTTTTCATTAGTAATTTGAGCTTTATCGTCTTGCACACAGACGTGATTATGGTTTGTAGTAAATCATTGCAATAGTTCCTTCAAACTGTTTGCAATATTCTATTCAGTGATCGGATTTCTTCTCTAAATAGCATGTTGCTATTTAACTCTTAAGAGTGTACGTAGCACGTAGCGCAGCGTTTTGTTTATAAGAAGCGTTTGGTTGTCAGTCTGTTTACATGTCTACAACTGAAGGTCGGTTGCCGTTAATTTGGTCTATGTTTACATCAATACAGAAATAACTGTTTTACTTCAAACATTTTTCTTACAGAAACTTTTTTGTTGCGTTAAATGTTTTTAGGCCTTTATAATAAAGGCGTAGTTGTGTAGAGGCCAGTCGACTAAGCTCATGGCTTCGAGGAATTCATGAGTTGAAACGACTATCTTCCTAGAAATTGTACAGTAGACGCGCTGGCTCGTGTTCTATCTGCCCCATTTTCAAAAGCAACATTATCGGCCCTCTAATAGTTCTAAATTGTTAAATTATGCACTTCTTTATGCATTTAGGACGCCTTAGACATACGCAAGGGCTCTTATTCTTGTTAATAATTAGCATTATAGTTTGAATATTAATTATTTTACGCAGTACGGTGGTTAGGAATGCAGTAAATTAGTCATTGGCACGATTTTGTTTAGATTTCACAAAACAGCATCTCTTAAAAGAAATAAAAATGCCTTTACATTATGAATGCTCAAACTTTTAACACTTCATATCATTCCATTCGCAAGTTTAACTCTTAGTTTTTAAGATTGATATTCTTTTGCTAATGATAGTCTTCTTTCACAGATGAGGACTCAGAGTCAGCGGGTACGAGTGCGACTGTTGGAGGCGGTAAAGCAAAGACTGGAAGCACACATATACACCTGTGGCAGTTTCTGAAGGAACTCCTGGCATCTCCTCATGTACACGGTTCAGCGATACGGTGGTTAGACCGAAGTAAGTATTAGAATACATATTTATATTTACATAATATCTTTTTGAATTGATACGTTTTTGAGAGACATTATTTAAGAGTAGCTATTTGGTTTATTTTTTCCTTTTTGGTTGTATAGAATTGACTTTTCAATTCATTCAGTCAGTTGTCACATGATATTGCATAGTGATAATTTTTATCAATATCCATGAAATGTATTCCGAAAATCCCCGCCTGATTAACGGTTCAAACGAGAATTTACACCTGTGTTTGCATCATTCCTATTTTTAACGATTACGTTCTAGTATTATTGAAATTGTACCATTTTATCTTTTTTATCGAAAGAAACTTTATCTATTGACGTAAACGACAATCTTTTGTTTTTAAAACATGTAAGATTAGGAGTTGATAAGTAAAGATTATGATTAGATTTAGTACTTACAATGATATCATCCATATTGTTTTGTGAATAGGGTCAAATGAATTTTCCCAGAATGTTGTACAATTTGTACAATTTTATACAATTTATCAGACTCTTGAATGACATAGTAAGTTTTCATCAATGAGTATATTTATCATTGATTTGAACAGGTGTGTTTTTAGTTTTATATGAATTAAAATTCATCTCTTTCGAAAACAGATTAAGAATAGAAAATACTACAAAAATATTAAACAGCAAAACTAGCCAGATAGTCTAGCTATCAAATGCATAAACACTTACAATATTTACATTATTTAATGCAATTTGAACTTTAAACTGATGACAAATAAAACACTTATCCAATGAAGCAAACAACTCAACCTAATAAATTGTACATTATTTTGTTCGTCGTCAAGTAAACAATGAAATTGTAATAAATATTTTATGTTTATTACTTAATTAGTATCAGCCTTGCTAATTAGTTAATGATAAATTGCAACAACAACGTAAATATTGTTAATATTTATGCATTTATAATAGTTAATATTACGCAGTATTTATCTCGAGACAAAATTATTGTCATTTTAACATAACATCACGCCTATTATACCCGAAGGGGTAGGCAGAGGTACATATTACAGCACTTAACGCCACTGTACAATGTAACAAGCACTTTTCACTATTAATGTTACGAGTCCCATGTAATAGGGGGTGAGCCTATTGCCATATACCGGGCACATTTGCACACTACTGACATTTTTAAAAAACCCAGTAATACTTTGCGTGACCCGAAGAACCCAGGAATCGAACTGGAGACCCCTTGCCCAGCAGTCGCACTTGCGACCACTTGGCTAATAAGGCAGTCATAGTCATTTTAACTTTTATTTTATTGTCACTGAATTGATGCGTTTTATAGATTTTCATACAAGTCTTATTATAGGTACTTATTGAGATATTCTCCTTTGAAAAACTAGAGCTGCAGTTTTTCGTTTTGATTATTCATTTCATACTACATTCCATACAATTTATGTATCTATTATGTATCTACAGATCTTGCCATTCTTAGATAATATGGGTACATGAGGTAGGACTTTTTTATTCTCATTTACAATTTGCCTCTAGTACATCAATGATAATATTACGCCACTCATTCAAGAGTCAAGAGACTGATCTAAAAAAACCATAACAAACCTGTTTGGTTACTCCAGTATGCGAACAATAAGATAAATGTACCAAACGACCCTTTGTTACAGACCTGTTCTCAGTACAACGCTTGATAACATTATAATTGGTTCAAACACGGAATTAAGAAACTCCTTTGTCTTAAATCGTGAAGGCGTGGTCCGCTATTGGCTATTTTATTACAACAACCGTTTGCTATTGGTCGTTTAAATTTTGAGGTCAACACTACAAATTATAGGATTAATATGGGCGCAATAAATGTTGAATGTTTCATTATCTGTGGAGGAGCTATGGGTGATACTATTGTCGTTCAAAAATTAGAGATACATTTTGATTCTAGATTTTAAACTTACTTATTTCTTGTTCAAATCCAAATCAGTACAAAATCATGTGAGTTTTATAGTCGCTACATAGTAATCATTGGAATGTGTACTGAATTACTTACATTGTAAATACCTACCTAATAAAAAACTATGTATTCGCAACTTTGTATACTATAATTGAAAGCTTTTCTTGTTCTATTTCTATAGCTTGCTATAGTACCTATGGCAACCAAATCTAAAATATGTCTTAAAACAACAAGACAAAGAAACTCGAAACGGCACAGATGTTCTCAAATACAGGTTTACATGAATATTTTTCAATTCTAAATCGATTCAGCCACTTCACGATCTTAATCTAAATCGAATGCATCAGTTATCGAATCTAACGCATGGAAAATTCATTTGAGCGACATTCCAGGTCCAAGGTGATCGAGCCATTTACCATCTGTTCAATAAAATCGTTTTAAATAAAGGTTATCTAGTTTCGTGACTTGTTCAGACGATAGTCCGCCATTGTTTGAATTTATACCATTATTTTGTCCTTTTTGGATCACGAATATTGTTCGTACATCCCCCATTAGTTTGCGTCTCTATATCACGACTTGTAAGCACAGGTATAGGTACCCAATTGTTGTAAGTGCTGTCTCTTTACCGTCTAGTGACGCGACGTTTAAATCATATGAAGGTCTTATTGTAAACAGTTGATATTCTCGAATACTACCTAATTAACCTTTTGTTTTTATTATAGTTGTAATTTGTGACGCACGAAGAGATGACATTTCCATCACTTCAATTCTCTGATAACAATTTGTTTACACTTATTTCATCATAACTACATTTCTTTAATATCAACGTAAGTTAAAGTAAATTGCTGAATGATGCTAAAAATGGAACTTGATTCTTGTTATAGAGCTTTCTGATTTCCAAATACCTTTCACTGTTTTATTTTTAAAGTAGAAATCAAAGAAAACGTTGACGCTAAATACGTGCTATTGTCTTTTTTTGCGATTTGTAATGAGTTTGTTAAACTCTTCTAAGAATCTCGTATCTTTTAAGAAAATTAAATTTATATCAGATTAAATCAGGTCACGAACTCATCCTGCGACAAAAAGTCGAAGAAATAGCGGTCGCATGGGATTAAAATGCGTAGTACAATTTGTAGTGTGTTACATATTTTAGATAAGCCATTTACTACTTGCTTTACGGACTTACATAGACTTTTAGGTTTATTTTGTGAGTAAATTGAACTATTATGTAGATTTTTGATACAACAAAACATTTTAGAAGCAACGACTTTATTACTTGTCAAACAATGATACAAAAACGTACGAGTAATGTCTCTCAAAAACAAAAAAGTCACGATTCCGTTTTATTGAACAAATGTTTAATTCAAATCGTGTTCCACAGGTAACGGTGTGTTCAAGATTGAGGATTCAGTGCGTGTCGCCAGACTGTGGGGCAAAAGAAAGAACAGGCCTGCTATGAACTACGACAAACTGTCCAGAAGCATCAGACAATACTACAAGAAGGGCATCATGAAGAAAACGGAGAGGAGCCAAAGACTCGTCTACCAGTTCTGTCATCCGTATTGCTTATAAATACTCTTTAGTTTATAAGTAATGTAAATAATTTATTAACGTTGTGTATAAGGGTGTGTGAGAGCCGCGGTAATGCGGACGGTACGATGACTGGCTTCGTTTTGCGGCTAAAACGCAAATCGCAGCGCAGTCGCCGAGTTTGTTGACAGCCGAATTTTCTACGGTCCTTTGTATCGACGTGTGTCGTGAGGCCGAGAATTAATAGGCGTCTTGTACACTATCCCTCCATAAAATTCGGGAAAGGTAATTTTCTCTAGAATTCTATTGGATGGGACTATTTGCTGTGTTATGTATTAGTTTTACCAGCGACTAGACTTACGATCTGATAGTTGTCGAGTTAACGTAAGGTCGTTTTCGTCGAAAGTTGGTAATGTTTATCCCATATATCTATGATATATTTCTAGTACGTTCTATGAACTTTTAGTTAGTTAAGTGTTCTGTAAATAATAAGAAAAATGTGCCCTCTATTGTTCGGTACTTATAGTGATTTAAAAGAGATTATTCTCGTTGTAAGGTTTATAAAAATGTTGAATATTTTTGTATGAAATATTAAAACAAAGAAAAAATAAATGTCAATGTATTTTTTTATATTAAAAATAATTAAAAAATGACGAGTTACGTCGTGTGTATTGCAATAATAATTTAATTTAAGATTTAATAATATTTAAACATGGCGGAGGATTCGTGCGTTAAAATGTATTTGAATTGGGTTTGAAATTTAATATTTCGTAATTTTGTGCCAAATAGACGATTAGAATTTATTCGGGACAAAATTGTATTGTATAATTGTTTGTAAATTTGGTGTCCCGCCGATCTGTAAATAGTTATTGTATAAATTATTTGCAATATTGGTGTCGGGATAGTACTAAGGAAATAATAAAATTTATTATCATTATTACTTTATAAGTTAACGCAGTTAGCGTTATGAATTTTTATAATTATGTTTATGATCATATTGGACCAAACTAATGTAGATTTTATGAATCAATTTTTATATTATGACATAATAAAATTAAATGGCCATTAAAGTGTTATTTTATTTTACTGATTACATATCTATGACACAATTGCATTGATAGGTAGGTACATTGTATGCAAGTGCCTACTGAGTGAAATTACTTTCAAATAGAAAAACATACTTTTAAGACATAAACAGAGAGTTTTGTTTCCATTCTTATAAGTATTCAAGTAGACCAAAAGCTCATTTTTAAAGGTTTATATTTAAAAACTAAACTTTAAAACACTCACTGATAACAATATAACATAATGAATAACAACTTTAATATTCTACATAACAAATAATTGTTTTACATAAGCCAGTAGCAATACTTCTTCATCTACCTACTAAAAATTCACGTCATAACACAACCAACCGACTCCCAGATGTTAACAATTGTTTACAAAAACTCGAAACATTGTTTGAAACAAAAATATTTTCAAAATAATAATTACACGTAAATCTGGTCTATATTGCGTCAAATTGCGCAAATATGACGTCATAAGCTCCAACCGCCAAATTCCAAGAGTGAAAGTGCCTTTCGCCGTCCTCGGAGAGGGGAGGACGACCTCCAGAGGGGCGAGGGAGGTGAGGGGAGGGGTATTGTGTAAGAACACTTGATATTTGACGTTATTATTTCGATATTGTTTGCTTTTTGACTGTAATTATGTTGAAGTAGGTGACAATGCGTTGTTGAATCTTCTTTTAACAAATGGCATGCTATTCATAATGGCTGTGTCCAGCTGGATAAAAACAGGTTAATAACGTTTAAAATATTACCAGATTTTTACCCTAATTTCATTGCATTTAAAAGTAGGTACTGTTTTTTCACATATAAGTGAGGGAATTCAAAATACAACCTGTATTTTGAAACACCTAGGTATTATCTATAGATAATAGGAGAGATACTAATAAGGGTATGAGAAAAAGAATCAACAGGTGCAATCTACTTTTTGTTTAATTTTCTCACGTGGTATAATAGTAACCCAAATGTATGAAAGTCCAGTTTCAAGATGCTTACATCAGATGGAGATGACTCAGTGAGTTAGGTGGTGTGAATTCTTAAGTACCGTTGCGTGGAATAGCTAAATTGTGAGCTGGCGAACTGAGATGAAGAATAGGTACATTTTGTCACAATGCGTACTCTTTTCGTGGATGGGTGTCGTTAAACCCAACTAAGGGACACCACAATTAATAAAAAAAATATTTGCATATACAAATAGCATTACATGCAGACATGAAAGCAACCAGTGTTCTCATAAACACAAACGCGACCGAGGTAACCGTGAGCTCCAAACTGGGCACAGCCTGTATCTCGATGGACTAAAATTAAGATTTAGGCTAGGTAGTTCTCGCATCATGGCTTTGACACAGCGCAACTCTGTAACAATAGAGCCGCGGACAGCGTAAAAGGTTACTAGGACTCCGGCTCGAACTGCAGGAGTGGGAACGGGGTGGTTTTTAGGTAAGAGTCAGTAGGTAAGAGTCTGACACTCCCTTTGAGGCGGAAAAGTCTTTCGATGTTTTCCCCTCTTAAAAAACCTGCCTGCCCAGGCGTAAATATTATGACAAACTCATCTTTTGTAGAGGAGGTTCATATACCAGCAGTGGACTGCCTCGCGCTATGGAAGTGAAGAAGCAAACCATTTTTTTAATTTTAGCTATGGATTTGTCTCATATTAAGGTTGCAGGTTACATAGCAATTCAACCAGACGAGTAAGGCCCTAATTAATTTGTTTATCTGAAAGGGCCTCACAATGTGCCATTGCTGCCAATCTTCTGGGAACATTCCCTAGCGGGACAGCGGACGGTGACGTGGATGTACTTTGAAACCTAATTTGTGTTTTTTTTTTTCACGGTTTTAGCTTTAAAGTTACTTTTGTCATAGAATGTTTTCTATGTATAAGTATGATTACATATTTATCATGATTTTTATATCCATGTTGGATAAATGGATAAGACAAGTAAAGAATGTTTACTGCTTTTAGTAATCACATGATTAGGGTGCCTTTAAGTCATTAGTTACGTAAAATTTTATTTATGTAGGCAACATTTACCTACGGAAGGGTAATAAGTAATAGATAACTACGATAAGGCTGGACAATTAAATGATTTGATTAAGCTATTTAAATAAAATTGGAAGGCGGGGTCCTAACACTGAATCATTATTACGCCTAAGTACTTACCTATATAGATATATAAAAGAAGGGCACAGGTGTCTTATATGTTATCATAGTTTAAGTAAAAACCAATCTGTGCAGTTTTGTGGAAATAAACAAAAATGAATAAGAACAACAAAATAAAATCGCGGTCGAGGCGATGTCGCGCAGCGACCGCACAAGCTGCTCATGAGGAAGAACTGTGGTTCGAAACTAGTAGAGCTTTTCTCAGTATATTCATGTGAGTAACCCGCGATTTCTAGTTAATTTAGTACGTCTCACGATAGTTATTATAAAAATAAATAAATAAGTCCTTAGTTAGGATTGTCTTTGACAAATTAATTGATGCCTTAGTTATATTGGAAATTAATTAACTTTGTGCCTACTTATTGGTGACTTCAAATCATGCATAAAATAAAATCGAATCCCACCCATCCTAAATCTCTATATCAATTCTTTTTACATCCTTTTGGTGCATTACGTTAACTAGATAATCGTCTAGACTAGCTTAATTAAAACTTAAACATTTCATTTTCTCATTGATACTCATTACATATGCAACATTAGAATTGTAACAAACAAAACAAACAAGTTATTTTAAATTCATCAAATTCGAAGAATTCTTTCTACGATTTCAAATATTATTATTAGATCTTCATCAACAGGTGTTCATCTTTATCTAGTTCTAACTTGATTTGTCTGTCTGTCCACGACAAAAGATTAGGTAGATCTCAAACTGTATAATTAGTCCAGCCATAGGTCAGACAATTTTGGACAAATTGACCATAAATAAGTTGTTTAATCGTTTGTAAACGATATTTAAGCTCTTGTGTCTAGTTGCTGCGATTTGAATAATTTCCTATGTTTCTGTGTGTGGTCTAAAGTGAGAGAGTTAGCGGGTGACGATAATGAAATCAAAGTTCCAATAAAGTCTTGTACAAGCCATTTTCATTATATTTTTGTTTGTTTGCATTTTTAACTGTCGAGTGTTATTGCCACATCGGCCTAATTAATATGTACATTTTTACAAGCGCATGTTGGACAGTGCATTAAAAGCATTCAACCTGTATTGACGTATACTTTATTTGACAAACTCTCTCTAATTAATCTTCCCGTGACATTCTATTGACATTCCTCTTGTGTGAGCTATTGCAGGCTCGCACAGTTTGGTCCTTCGAGCCGGATATATGACTTTTCGTCGCGTTTTATACAAAAGCCAGAAAGTCATTTTATCAGTGACAGTGAATTACAGTGCATTCAATCGTGCCACGTGACAATTGGACAGTGACAATCATTTTTTTTGCGTTGCAAATAGTGTGGCCAGTGGGAAACTAACCCGCTTTTCTGAGACAACTTGTGACAATCTGTGTAAAGTGACATTACGTTCAACACGAGCCCCTGCATTACACGAGTGACAAGTGATCATTAGCTACAAGGAACAACGTCGTCTGGTGCCAACAGCGTACTGTGCAGAATACAGCTTGGCGCAACTTTCCGCAAGTAGAGGTGACGTAAGTGACAGCTGTATCCAGGTAAGACTGTTCCGTTATATTAGACTCTGGACCTTTTGACGAAACATGGAGGCTCTATTTAATAACCAGCAGGCGCTCATCAAAAGTCTTGAACGTGAAAATATTAACTTTAAAAAGGATCCATCCAGTAGGAAGACTACTGAATACCTTATTAAGAAATTAGAGAGATTGGATAAATTGTGGGAAGATTTCCAATTTAATCATGATCAGTTATTGACATTTAAAGACGAGTCCCATGAATATTTCGTGAGGAATCTGTATGAGCAAACTCTGAAGTACTACGAGGGAATAAGACTCAATGTGGCGACATTT